CTATTCAAGGAAGAGACTCTTTTCAACGGATTTATTGTCAGGATATAGAATCGTATAAATATGGTTTTTCATATTAAGAAATTATATCCCGCGAGAAAATTCAAACAAATGCATGAATACATGAAATAATAATAGCTCGCAATGCAACTGAATTATTTGCGATTATAATCATAGATTGATATCAGTTAGAGAACCATTGAAAACCACCATGGAGTACTGGACAGCAGTTTCACCCTAGTTTGGGAATCATTGACAGTACGCACACACCGCCAGGGTTCGAACCCAGGACTTCCCGGTTACAAAGCGAGCTAGCTCGTATACCATTCATCCACTGGTACCCGATCCAATGGCCAATCCATGAATTCTAACTTCTACCAATTGGTGATTTAGCGCGACCACCAGCGCGTGCGTACTGCCTATGATTCCCAAACTAGGATGAAACAACTGTCCAGTACTCCATGGTGGTTTTCAATGGTTCTCTAACTGATATCAATCCGTGATCAACTCGTCAAAATAAATCTAATCCTTACAAACCAACTGTTGAAAATTGTAATCATAGTTAAATATCAAGTGGCAAGTGGTAAAACAATTAATGTCATATACACAATAACTCATAGGATGTACAGATATTGAAAGGGCGTGTATAACCACCATAGGGCTAGTAGGAGGCTTCGTCCTTTCTTCTGATGTTTTAGTGTCAAGGCATATTGTGATCTGACTTGTTCCGCACTGGCTTTGTCCATTTCACTTAATGCTTCTTCTATACTATACTATACTATACTATACTAAATGACGTCTTTAGGTTTTAATCTATTCACAGCTACATTGAAGTTTAATCCCTTTTCATCAAGTATTTTTACTTCATCAGGACTTAAGGCTCTTCTCTTGTTGAGAGGTTAACTGCCCACTTTGTTTAATCGATGGTTGACTGTATTTCATTGGTGTGAATTCTTTTTCTTTAGCAGAATAAATATATCTGTCATCCATCGATGTTTGTTGAACTTGTTAATTTGAGTATTTTTGGATTTGTTGAATGCACAGCTAAACTAGACTTTTTAGATGTTTCATAATCCTTGTCATTTACCATATTTTTTCAGTTTGGATTTTAGATGTTCCCAATTTCATGTCTGATGGCAGTTAGCTTACTGATAATTCTGTGGATTTCTTCTCTTAAATAGAGTCTACTGAGGTGTTCCAGTTCCTTCCTCGTTTTAACCGGAACGTGTAGACGAAGATATGTAGGAATAATTCCACTTTTTAAGCATCGAATGTTAAAAATATACGATGATTTTTGTAAATCTTGCTTCTGTTTGTGATAGATAATCTTGCTAGTTTATTGACTAGTCTTCGAACAGGAAGACCATAAGTATCAATAATGTGTAAAAGTGTAGAACTCTGGCCTTTTTCGGTAGAATGTAATTTCATATTGGACACATCTAGTTGAAAATCAACTGACAGATGTTTTTAAGAACATGAAAAAAAATAAATTTGTAATCTCGTCAGATTTGTACGAACGCATCCAACCAGTAGGCTGCATAATACTACGTTTGTATGAACTACCGAGAATTCATTAAAAAAAACAGGGGTACGCCACGGTCTGATCCTCGATATGGCGGGTTCTGCTTATCGCGCAAGTGCTCATTGGCTAGCTGAAATACCGGAACCAGTTAGAAGGCAAGTGTATCTAAGTTTTTTTTCATTGATGATACACTTTAATTTATCAAGGGTAATAAAGATTCTAATGTGTCAGACAAAATCATGTTCTCATTAGGTATTACTTTGCTTTTCACCAATATACCTTCTCACTGAAACTATTAGCTGCTTATATAGGCGATTATGTTGATGCACATAGATTAGATGTAGGGTTGCCGGCAACTTACCTCAAAGAACTCTTATTGAGATGTACGCTCAATGTTCAGTTCGCTTTCCATAACGAGATCTTTAGTTAGATATATGCCATTGCGATAGGATTGCCACTGCGTCCACTGATGGCTGATTGCTTTATAGTAAAGCTTAGAAACTATCAACACAATGAAACCATCAGTCGCTTTGATATTGCTAGAAGATACGTAGACGACACTTTCGTTATCTGAGAGAAGAACGTAATTCCTAATGATATCTTGCTTGCATTCAACAACTGACATCCTTCTCTGCAACTCACCATAGAAAAGGAATCTGAACTAAGCATTCCCTTTCTTGATGTGTGCGTTAGTAGACGCAATGGTGGATCTCTCAAAATTTCCATCCACTGGAAACGTACATGGAATGAACAAGTAACTAATTTTATAGCTGGATGCTTATATCCAGGAAAGGGGACGTAATTCACCCGCTCTGCTTTAGGATAAAAACATCTGTAGTTCTGACTGCGTTGACTCAGAACCTTCCTTCCTAAAAGCCACGCTCGCAGAAAAAAGAGCTATTCGAACCGATTTACTGACAAAAATACGAAAGATAAGCAGTCCAAAACGGGTCTCTGACTCAGTTCCAAAGGTAGCCACATTCATGAATTTGGAATTCAAAGGTGATCAGATATGCTCAAAAATCGTCTCTTTAAATCAGTCAGTAAGACATCTTTTGCTGAAAAGCTACAAATGGCGTTCTCTTGTCGTTGTTGTTGTTGTTGTTCTCCACCTTTGTAAAAGATAAGCTGCCCCTTCTGGCCGCCTCCATGTGCATCTATCAGTTGACCTGTTGTTGTGGAGCAAGGCACATTGACCGTAGCCAGAGGACGTTTTCCACACGAATAGGAGAACATATTCCAGCATGGTTTTGCAAAGGAAAAGGGGAGGGTGAAGGGAGCCGTATTCTACAACACTTGACCGACTCATGTCACTCTAGCAACGCTGACCACGATTTTAAGATCATCTATGGAATTTGTGTCAACTTGCCGCATTTTCTCCTAAAAACAGGAGAGGCCTTCTCCATTCTTGAGTTTGAGCCAGACTTTTGTGTATAAAAGAAGTATGTACAATCTGTATTTCTGCAGTGGACGTAGACGGATAAATGCATATCTATCTGTATTTTATTATTGTTACCATTGTGTTTTTCACTCATTTAATTTGCTTGTTTTGTCGATGTACCTTCCCCTCATTACTAGTATCATTATTAATCTCATTATTGTTGTTATTATTATTACTGGTATTCTCACTTTGAAGCATTTCCACTTATCCCCGCTGCCATTCAAAATCAAAAATACTTGTTTGCAATGTTGACTTCCATCCTATTGAATTTCATACCATATTTGCCTACTAACCCCGTGGTGGTTATATACACCACCACACCCTTCCAATATCTGTACATCCTATGAGTTATTGTGTATATAACATTGATTGTTTTACCACTTGCCACTTGACATTTAGCTGTGATTATGTAATCGCATCTAATTCAATTGCATGTCACTCCATTATTATCATCTTATGTACTCACACATTTGTTTGTACTCATACATTTTAAAATAATGTTTTCGGCTTGTTTGATGGTTTTATAAAGGTTGTTAATAATATTACTGCCTGATTGAGTGACTGACTAGACGTAATCTGGTTGAGTAGTCTTCTTCGCCTCTAGTTAGTATTGATAATTGTATAATTCATATAAGTGTAAAACTTGGGCACTGTGGTAGAGCATAACTCCATTATGGATAAGATTTTATTTTGATAAATCACACAGTGTTGTGCGTCGGTGGCACAGTGGTTAGGACTCTCGCCGACCATGCACATGGTCCGGGGTTCGACCACCTGCCGGCGCACACCCGATATCTATGGTCAGCCTGAATTTGGGCTACCGATATCCATGCTGAAAATTCCATACTTGTACTGAAAATACGGTGTGGAATCAAGCTGTAAATGAAAAATAAAAAATAAATAATATTAGCTGATGTGACCACGTTTCGAGGATAAACTATTGCTCACAATCATATCAAGTTACTCACACAACTTTTTTCCTTCACTTATATGCATGTGCGGAATCGATTAGATATTGGAATAAAAATCAATATCGGATGATGTACATTCAGAAATAATAGTACCAGTGTTATTGATCGATTACAATCAGATGGGAAAAATAGGACTAGTGTTTTTATAGTCATAATGAGTAACTTGTTAGAATGTTGTGATGTGTTTGAATTGAAATGGAATTTTGAGATTATTTATTATCCTCTTCTGATTTGAACGGCGGTAATAATTTTATCTTCCATATTTGTGGTATTTGCATTGAGTCATTTCTGTTGCATGTGTTGGGTGTAGACTCGATGAATACGGATTCAGCAATCAACCTCTCTCTCCACCTACCTATATTACTTCTTAGAATCTTAATCCTCTACCACCCGATTGTGTAGTATTTTGTTAATGCGTGAAGTGCAACAGCTGAGGTTTTTTCTAAATTACTTATCTTCTCGAAGTCAACCATTCTAACCTTAGCTAAATTCTTATATTCCGACAATCGGACTACCCCCGGCCTACATAGTTTGACCTATGCAGTTGACCTAACTCACAGTCATTGCAGGGCATTTTGTAAATTATATTATTTGTCTAATTAGGTCAAAAGGGTCTGTTAACCTACAGAGCTTGTCTCTGAGTGAGTTTGTAGTTTTCAATGCCACCCTAATTCCTGCTTTATTAAGAATCCTACGTAGGGTCTCAGATGTCCCCTCCCTCAATAATTGATAGAACAGTGGATGACTTATATTCTTTCTTACTTATGTTATCATTACTAGTTTCACAGTTATTTTAATTTAGCTTTTGGCCTTTACTGATCTTCCTGATGAATTTTATAGGATAGTTATTCAACACCAACGCTTCTTCTATCTGTTTTATTTCATCATTTAGGTCTTTTCTTGTACCACTTTGTGCTACTGCTCGTTTTATTAGACATTTAAAATCTGATCCATAATTGATAATTGTATGTTATGGAAGTAATTATTTTTCATGGTATAGTATGTAACTTTTGAAGTTATTTGTTTTTCACCGGTAATATAATATGTTAAATGTTTTTGTTCAATATAGTTGGATCGGAACTGTGAAATTGTGAAGGTGGCAAGAGCATTCAATCTCGTGGATGAGAGTTACGAGAAAATGATATCTACTAAAGTGTAAGATGTGATTTTGGTATTTTTGCTTTATTTATTAAACTGGTAATTGTGAGCTTTATTGGTAAAATACTTAATAGGTTTTCTTCAAAATAACTATTGTTATTATTATTAATATCTGCTTTGGTATCGAGTTGAACGTAGGGATTGAACAGCACAACTCCATTTGATTCTTTTCTGTGAAGTTGTTTCCAGCTGCCTAGAGGCTATATTCTCGTCCTCACATGGTCTGCACCATGTCACTCTCGGAATGACGTCCAACTCGTGGTTTCCCATACGGGTTCCACTCTAGCCAAGTGTAAATCGTCTAGAGTTTTCTTACCGGTTCAGCATATTACTGTCTTCCCTCTCCCTACTCTCCGTCCATGGAATAATCCAGTCCGCCACAATCAGGAATATCAATAGTGACAGTAATTAGTCTGGTTTTACTCCTCTCTTCACTTCGAAGGCATCACTGTGTTCTCTCTTGTGAATCACTTGATATGTAGCGTTATCATATAGCTGTTGAGTGAGGATGATATAGGTTTGCACGCTTCACTCCATAGTGTTCAAACAGTTTCCAAATTATTTCACAGTCTTTGCTGTTGAAGGCTTTTTCAGAGTGGATGAAGTTGAGGTAGAAATTTGACAGCCATGCTCTGCTCTGTTCGATGATCCGTATTCAGTGCATCAAGAGGAATTCCGCCCCGTTCTGCAGTCCTCCCGGACTTCTTTAGCTTGATTGCATTGAACCCTTCTGCTTTAGTTGGCAGACTGGTGTTCGCTGACAGTTCTGTGGCTGTTGGTTGTATTCCTGAACGAGTTGTAGGTGACGGTTGGTTCAAGAGTCATTTGAAGTGATCAGCCCATTGTGTCCTCTACTTCTCCACCTTGATAATCAGCTTCCCTTGGCTATCTTTTATTGGTTTCATCATCTGTGTTGATCTGTTCCCGGATAGAGAGCAGCCTGTCTCTGTCTGCCTGTCTTCGACATAGAACTTTGCACCGATGTGCGGCAGTTCAAGTTGCCACACTCCCTTCATGTAGCACACAAAGCCAGAGAAGAAAGTAGAAGAAATGCATATTAGAGCCAGTAAACAGAGGTGTGAAACAAAGGAATAGTAATAACGAAGAACAAAACAGTTTAGTTGGAAATCATAAGTCACAAGGAGTGGATGCATCTGCGCCACTGAGAACGATTTTGAGCCATGTCACCAATAGTTTCCAACCATTGGTTTTTACCGTCCCGAGGAGCCCAACCAGTCAGGAAGTCTACACCTTCCTACGTGGCTTGGACTAACTGTTGTAGATTTCATTGACTAGTGCCATGTTTTGGTTTGACCGCCGCCAGCTCTTTTCCAGCCTGACCCTATGTCAGCTAATATTGCCCGTCGAGGAAGGCGATGACTAGGTGTGCATAAGTAACACATGTCCTAACCATCTCAGTCGATGTAACTTCACAACCTCGTCGATTGATTTCCCCTCTTTACCTAGCACTCGACCAACGCCTAACCTCAATATTGCACACCTTATTATACCACTTCACGCAGAACGCAGACACCTATGATCGAAGACAGCTAATCTTTTCATGTCTTCCGCTCTCAATGGCCATGTCTCACTCACAGTCATAAAGCAGGATGGAGCGGACTGCTGAGCAGTATACACGCCCTTTGCTCGATAGTCGGATATCACGTCTACTCCAGAGACGGCGTAAACTGGCCCTCTGTATCCGTGTTGAGATTTCGTCAGAGATCAACCCGTTGGCACTGGCTGATGGTACTTCCCAAGTAAGTGAAGCGGTCAACGTGCCCTACCACTTCACTTCCTATTTCTAATCTAGGAGTCGGTGTAGTCCAATCTTGCAACATCATCTTACATTTAACAGGGGCGAATCGCATGCCAAACATACGAAGATTGCTGCTCAAGGTGTTCAGAAGACTCTGCATTTTGTCAGCGTCCTCGCCTAGAAGGACTATATCGTCTGCATATTCTAAGTCAACGAGATTATTCCCTGGTAGCAAGTCAATCCCTGAGTCTCTGAAGTGAGTTAGGGTTAAGTCCATTAGTGAATCTATGATGAAGTTGAATAGAAATGGGGATAATGGGCATCCTTGACGGACGCCACTAGTCGTCACCACTTCAGATGACAACTCGCCGTAAGCCCTCACCTGGCTGCATGAGTACGAGTAGAGTGCCTTAATCAGTGCAATGTATTTTCTCGGCATTCCCTTTACAGCCAAGCATCGCCAGAGTACCTCTCGGTCGACAGAATGGAATTCCGCCTTTAGGTCAAGAAATATAATGATTGTTAGACGCCGGTGGGAATGCCTATGCTCTAGAATCTGTCGGAGGGTGAAGATATGATCAATACTCCCTCTTCCTGGCCTAAAACCTGCCTGGTTTTCTTGTATTTGTGCCTCCAGAGCACCACTTAGTCTACTCAAGATTATTGAGCCTATGACTTTAGATACTATATTAGTCAAGCTAATGCCTCTGTGATTATCACAAGAAGACTTGTCTCCCTTCTTGTATATCGGGATGACCAGTGACTAACGCCAACTCGATGAGACTTCCTCTAATTCCAAGACGCTGCCTAGAACCTCAGTTAATGCAGACACCGAATTGTCTCCACCGTACTTAAATACCTCTGGAGTCATTCCATCAGGTCCCGCTGCTTTGCCATGCTTCAGATTAGTGACAGCTTTAGTAACCTCAGTTAAGGAAGAAGGATCTGTGTCTATATCACGTTCAGGGAGGTGTTGGATGTTCGGCAGGTTAAGTGTGGCTGTAGGCCAATTAAACTGCTCCTCATAGTGTTCTTTCCAGCGTTTCAGTCGTCTATCCTGGGAGCTAATTATGGTGTCATTTTTCTCCGAGATTGTTTCACTTATCATTTGCCTTTTGCCACCTGTTTCCCTGATAAGCCTGAATAGTTGTCTGGTGTTGCCAATCGCCGATGCCTTTTCCTTCTCTTTCGCTTTTGTCGCCCACCACTGTTCACGGTCGTTGAGAAGACTTTTTGTTAGTTTTCGCTTAAGTACCTTTCGCTCCTCATCATAATCGGAGCTCACTGGAATCAGTCTTCTTGCGTCAATCAGTTCGGATGAGGTGGTAGAGATCCAATGGCTTTTATTAACTTTAGCTTTTAGCTTACTAACAGCTTTGACAGCTGTGTCTACAGCTAACTGTATGTTGTGCCAGGCTACCTCGATGTAAGTCCTGCTGTTGACCTCAGAAACTCGTTTCGCTATTTCTTCCTTAAATAAGGACTCAGTGTGACGATCTAGTTGGGGACGTAACTGTTTCGCTGCCGTCAATTTCTTATGTTCATTTAGTCGTAAGCATAAACGTGGGCGAACCAGAGCGTGATCGGAGTCTACACACGTGTTCCAGAAGGAGCGACAGTCTTCTACTGACCCTCGCCAACGATTCCCTATGGCTATGTGGTCTATCTGAGTCCAGCGTTGATTTGGTGATGGAGGTCGCCAGGTTACACAATGTCTGTCTTTGTGCCTAAAGTTCATGCTGACTAGGAACAGATGATTATCTGAGCAAAACTGCAGAAGACGATCACCGTTGTCGGTTCGTCGGCAGGAAACTCCATACGTACCACCTACATACTTGTCAGTCTGGCACAACCTCCCTACTTGGGCATTGAAGTCGCCTGCTAAAACAACTATGTCCGAACGTTTTGCTTTTTGCAGCAAATTAGACAGTTTCAGGTAGAAGTCGTCTTTTAATTCATCCGAACTGCAGTCTGTTGGGGCGTAAGTGGAGACTACGAAAAGGCAACGACGGGTAGCGCCGTCTTTCCTTCTTTTAACGGACTCGTTCAGACGGACCGCACACATACGGCTATCTGCTGGAATTCAGTCAAGAAGTGATTTTTCTGCCCTAACACTCAGTGATATCCCTACACCTGCGAGTCCTCGTGAGCTATCTGAGGGGTGTCACAACACCCTTAAAGTGAATTTTGCAGATTCACCTTGTTGACCGGGTGAGGTCAAGTGAATGACCACACTCGGGTCTTGTATGCGTGTCTCCGAAACACAACATACATCCATGGCTCTAGATTCCAGAGTTCTTGCTATTGATGCCTGTTTTCCGATTTGGCAGAGGGTCCTGACGTTAAAAGCTCCTATATGAAGTTGGCGACGTGGCTTTAAAAGGCTATCTGGGGTATTTCTATGGCTCTCATCGTTGTTTGTGGTCGCAGAGTGAAACGAAGATGACTCACTAGCCTGAAGAAAAGTGCTAACTGTAGTAGAGAAGCAAGATGAGGAAAGTTATGTGAGTAAGGGAGAGTGACGCTCAGGTAGGCTTCGTGTGCTTTTGGAAGTGTGTGGGCGGTTGTTACTTCCCGGCTGCCCACACCGTGGAAGTTGGTTGAGTCTTCGGGTACCTGAAATAGAGAAAAGGTTAGTGTTGCGTGACCGCAGAGCCCAGGGGACAACTGCTTGAGGCCGGTCAGAGGCGGCCTGTTTTTATTTGTTCTTATTTGTTTGGTGTGTCTCAGTAGCATATTAATCACTTCTGCCCTGTGACACGGCAGCACGAAGCGTGGTCGTTGTTAATCCGGATGCCGACCGATCCGGCATGATATTTTGTGAATTTGTTTGAATCATAGTATTGGATTGGGTAGCTGCTTTTTGTCTAACCGCTATCCAAACAACCTTCCTGGCATGGTAGGACCTACAGGAACATTAGTTCCAGCCAGTGTAGATCTCGGTGGTCGCCGTATCATTAAAAAAGACCACCACGTCTAGGTAGCAGCTGTCGGTCGGGAGCGAGCAGCCTGGTTATCTGATATAATGTTCTAAGGCCTCTTTTGCCTGTGGCCCGCCTGTTCTACTTCACTAGCCGTCTAGTGTGTCGTAGAGAATTGTCTTTTGTCTTCGCTATCACTCTTGTTCACTTCTTTATTCAGTGCGTATTACGTTGAATTCAGCTTCTCTTTCTGTTATTCTTCTTCTCTGCATTAGTTCATCTTCTGTTTCACTATCCCTCCTTCGTTAATTAGCTTC